ACTTAAGATAGCGCTATATTCTATTAACTTAAAGATATTAACCTAGGTATCTTTTAATAATTATCTTAATAATAAGTTACTTATTAATTATTTTACTTACTATTACCTCTTTTAAGAAGCTGCTTACTGTCTAGAAAGATCAGATATGAGCTTTGATAAATGAGGAAATCAAGTTTCAAGAAGCAGTATCGATAAGGCTTTGGTAAAATATCGCAGAGACAGGGAAAAACTGCTAGCAAGCCCGACAATTCCTCTCGACATGTGGTCTATTTATTACCTCATGGAACTAAAGAAGGGCAGCATCTCGGACGATCTTCTCGGCAGGCTAGACATAAACGACTCGCAGTTCATGAATACAGTGGATGCATGCTTGGGACTGTGCAAGAAGTGGATCGGGCTGCTAGTAAAAGGGCTGCCGAGGGGTGCGTTCCCATTTGAGAGCCTTCTTTTACACCAAAATGCAAGCAAAGCCGTACAGAATATTTGTCGTCCTGTGCGCGAACAGAGCCGTTTTGATACATGGAAAGAGGCTGGATATCTCTTTGCATTTGTCTGGAGTAATGAGCAACGAGCGGCCGCAAATTCTTCATCTTGGTTGCAAGAAGCCGAGATATCCGGACTTTCTCCTACGTATTTCCTGGCTATTATGTGCCGAATGATTGTCGGTAAGACAGCCAACACATTCCCGGATTTCCGGACAACTCCAAGCAGAGGAGATAATACTAGTAAGACTGTCTGCCGGCTCTATCTGCAAGCAATCAGGAGGATCAAGAACACAACTAAACTACAAAGCCTCAAAAAAAATACTCATCACCTGCCTTTTCGTTCATTACACAGAATCAGATTTGGATCTAGAGGAGAGTAGAGACTTAGCTAGTCTCCAAGCTTATCAGAGGATAGCTCAAGATTTTGTGTTCAAGGCGGAAAGAGATCCTTTAGCTCGAGATTTCTCGCAGGCCAGTACCTTGGACACAGATATTCTGATGACCAATTTCAGCAGCTTATCGTCTAGCAGATCATCCAGCTCAGCTTTATACTTCCCATATACTCAGAAGCAATATCTCACCCTCCTGAGTAGCAACCCTGCGATGACTCGATCGCTGGCTTCAGGGTCTTCTCGAGGGTCGTCATTGAATTCGTTTAGAGCATTCCAAGCAGCGAGTATGGCTATGGCGACATGCTTGAAGGATGATCACGTTGAAGACATATTAAGCATAGAAGACTGAGGAGCATATCTAGTTGAACAAGTGCTAATTAATTTTTCCCCCTTAACTTGAGGATCGCAGTTGGCTTACTGAATAATATCGCTCTAACAGTGGGAGACCCTCAGAGCACCAGACAATCATGACGGCTATCCATGCAATCCCAAATGCATATCCGTGAGTCTGCTTGAACTCCGGGGCCTGTGTAATAGGAAACATCTCTTGCTGAGCAACTGTTTCAACGGCACTAATTGGATATGGTTGTCAGCTATCACTTGCCACTCTGATGATTGACTAATTGCTTGATATATCGTTGAAACTCACTATCCAATAGAAATCATCAGTCCCGTGGTTAGGGCGCGAAGCTGCTTCTTCCCACCGCAACTGGAGTTCAACCAGGCAGATATTAGCGGCGACAGAGCGCTGTATGCACTGGCGAGGTAAGAAGCTACCATCAGGAAGGACTCATTGTCTGCCCAGACTAGAAGGACGATGTAGCTGAACAGCTGTACGCAGCCCAGAAAGCAGATCGGGAGAGCCCCATTCTCATAGGTATCCGCAATGAATGCACTGAGATGCATCCAGACGAGGCCCTAGCAAAATAACTGTTAACGATCGGACTGAGGATGTGAATGAAGTGACCTACTGTACATCCAACAGCGGTGGGAATGGCGTTGACCTTCTCAGTGCTGTACTTGGACTTTCCATCAACTCGAAGAAACTTGATCCACAGTGTCATCCATTGTTGAAGATTTACACCACAAGTGAGTTCCATGAGC